TTCTCCGAAAGACGAATTCCTCCTCATCCTTCAAGGCTTGGCTCCATTGTCACTCCCTCCGGGAAAGTCCCTGCTCTTTCCCCCTTGTCATGCAGTTTCAGATTATTACATTGTAGTAATTATAGTAGTAATTGTTTATGTAACTCTCATCCTCGTTAGTCTAGGAGCTCCACGAGGGGAGCAGAGAGGAAGACTAACACAACTGTGCATCCTCAGTGCCCAGCTAGTCTGCGTAACATGTTCAGTAAATTAGGCCGAATGAATGAAATCCCACCGATGATTCATTGTTGTATACTTCATCTAGTAGGGTCTTCGCCCAGTTTGAGGAGTGGTCCACATTATGTCATTCTTGTTCCTGGGAGATGTAACATGATCATACCCATGGGATCTCGTGAAAAAGCTGAACTTTATCCAAGAGGTCATGAGATTGGTTATAAGGGGAGAAGGAGCGGGAGGAGCTCCATGCCCTTCATGGAGTCTTTGCAGATTCCACCTTCCGTTCCTGCACTGGCTTCAGGTATTGGACTTGCCTTCCTCTCTTGGGTATCTCTTGTGTGACTTGCTCCAGGGCAGCATCCAGAGAGCAGCAATCAAGGCTGCGTTACCCTCACATTCTAGGGGTGGGAAACAGAAGCATAAGGAGCATAAAGTAGCTTGCGTGAGGTCCCAGAGTAAGAGAGTAGTGAGCTACAGTTACAACTCAGACTTTTTTTTTTAAAGTTTATTATTTTTTTAATTTAATCTCTACACCCAACGTGGGGCTTGAATCTACGACCAGAGATCAAGAGCTGCATGCTCTTCTGACTGAGCCAGCCGGGTGCCCTGGGCAGCCCGTGCTCTTAACCACCATACGTGACATCTTGTGTTTACTACACTTTGAAGTAGCACTTGCTTTGAAGGGCAGAGATATGAAAAGCACAACAGCTGCCACACCCAAAGCACTCAATACATGTTGGCTGTCCCTATGCCTTACCCTCCTTTTGCAAACACTCTACTGTAAATACTTGTTGAATAGTTTTGAGTGTTAATAAGTGTGAGTGAGGATATAGAAAAGAGACAAACACACACATGAGCATGCGTCCACAGAGACACATGGGCGCACATGCCAGAGAGATCACACGTGATGGGTGGGCAATCACGAAGCACCATGACACCAGCAGGGACAGAGGAGCTCCACAAAGACAGGCCGGCAGCCAGCGGAATGCAAAGCATCTTGGACGTCTCAGTGCTAATTCCAGGAGCATTCAAGGCCCAGGAACCCCAGTGAACGGGAGGAATGGTGGTCAGGGCTGCCATCTGTACCCTATAGCTGGGGCTGGGGCTGGGGCGAGCAGGGGCTGATAGCCAATCCGCACTCCATTCACTATACATACTGTGCACCAAAGGCTGTGTGCATCCCAAAGGGGCACCCTTTTCTCATTTATCTGCCAAGGGGAGTAACTTTTTCTAAATCTCACAAAGATGCTGTATAAGCTAATAATGGCAATGAAGATCCCAAGAGACCGAAGAGATCCCAGGCAGAAGATAGTGCTTAGGGGCAGCATCTATTCTTGGGGTTAAGCAATAGTCAAAAAAGGCTGGTGTTTAGGGACAGAGCCCCAGTAGTTCATTTACTCAATTATTAAGTACTTACTGTATGCTGGGCACTCTGCTGAAGAAAATGGATATGAACTGCACTTCCCTGGAGCTTACAGACCCATGGGTGAGACAGATGTCAAACAAGGAAACTAATCTATAATGTCAGCCAGTGGTTAGGGCCATTTTGGAAGGAAAACAGAATGAAAGATTGACAGTGACAGAGGAGAGGGAGAGCAGTTCTGGGTAGGTGTTTGAGTTGAGAATGCAATGTTGGGAAGGAGCCTTGAAGATCAGCCCTGTGAGAGGAATGAATGAACGGGTGTTGGGGTTCAGGGTAATATCCAAGAAATAGCAAATGGTTGGAACCAAAGAAAGGCAACCTAGAAGGACTGAGTTCTACCCGAAGGGTTGTGAGAGAGAAAGTAGTACTATTATCCTTGCATAAGTCCAGGGGGCCCCACTCATGATACGAGGAAGCTGTGAGCAGGAAGGATGTTGCAGCCTCAAATGGAGGAGGCTTATTCTGCCCGTGCCCTTTTCCTCCCAAGAGAGTGAGTGTTCAGATGGACAACAGCCAGGCCAAATATGACAACAGAACTCTGACCCACAATCTCTGTAGCAGAATGATCAGGGCCTATTAATGACTGCCAGAACTTCTATTTTGATGTCCCTGCTTCTACCTTGGGACCAACCAGAAAAAATTACATAGCTATGCAAACCGACTACACAGGAGGCCCCACTTCTAGTTCACCTGCCTCCGGCTTCCCCTGGGCAACAGCCTCTAGTCAGGGCAGACCTGAAGCCTTCCCAATGCAAGACCCTTTCCCAATGCAAGCTCTGTGTCAGTAGGCTCTGTTCTCTTTTGGGAGGGTCTTCATGGATTTCTAGACTCCCTTTCTGCTGAGTGGGGATGCAGATATGAGGTGAATCGTGAGAGCTAGAATGGAAGGGGCAGATTGTGGAATTGCCATATACCCTGGACTGTTAGAAACACACACACACACACACACACACACACACACACACACACACACCCACCCAGAGGAGACTTTTTGGTCTCAGACTGAATGGTCAAACTTCATCTGTTTAAACTGTACTAATTTGGAACTTGTGCAAGTTTGCCTGGAGCGCCCTGGGCAAAAGGGTACATTTGCACTGGATTAAAAATCACAGTTTGCTGAGCAGATTCATGTACACCAGATTTCACTCATTTACTGGGATATTTGAGGTACTTTAGCCTCTTTCATTTGCATACAATGACTGATATGCTAATTACAATAGACTCTGACCTATTCATTAGTACTTAGAGCGCACTTAGCCTGGGTGGCCTAGGAATGCTTGGAATGGAGAGGAACAAAGCTGTTCCGGGACCTGCAAAATTTTGAATTCTTGCCAATTTTGACTGGACTCCCCCAGTCGGGATGAACAAGCAAAACTTACTCTTTCTTGGATGTTTTGTGTCCCCAGTATAAATCTGTCTTTGGATACAGCTCTGGCCACCACGTGGCCCAAGATCACAGGACACCACTCTGGATGGGTGATGTGTAAGGCCAATTCATTAAAGTCTACATACAACCGACCCACCCTTCTTCTGGTCACTCCAGTGTCTTGGTTGTGACAGCTCCCACTGGTCTCCATGTCCCTTCTCTATGCCCACAGGGGAAGCACAGAGGGGGCAAACTCCCAGACTGGCTCCTTGGTACCATGGTCTCAGTCATTTGATCTCCTCTAAGAAGCTTGGGGCAGGAAGATGGGCCAAGATACAGAACTAATGTCTTAGGCTTTTGTGTCCTCCAGTCTCCTAATTCACTCTCATTTTCAGGAACCTTGCACCACACTTGACCAAGCAAAGACCAAGTGGCCCCTGGAGGTTCAGCAATCCTTCTCGGCTTACAAGTGAGTACCTTGGAGCTACCTGGGAATCATGACCCAGAAGTGTAGTTCTTTGGAACATTCCTGTCCATGCCCCCAGGCCTCCCAACACCTCTCCACCCATTCACACATTCATCCATCAACATTTTCTGTGTGCCTCCTGTATGTTAGCATGACACAGTCTTGATTCTGGAGGAGCCATGGTCTATGGTGAGACAGACATTTATACAAATAATGCTAATCTAATGTGACAAAAGCTGTAACTGAGATGTGTGCAAACTACCAAGTGAATGCGGAAGAGTGAGCAGATAACTCAGCATGTTTGGGGAAGGCTTCACAAATATCAAGCAGGTGACACTTGAATGGAGTCTTGTGGAAGCCTCCATTAGCTGGAGACATGGGGTGGGGCTAGAGGGTAGGGAGAGGAGGCATTCTAGGCAAAGACAGGAGGACTTAAAAGAGTCAAGAAAAGGCATGTAGTTCTGTGAGGTTGGAACAGAGGATGAGGGAAGGAAGATCCCAGAAACTGGAGTTGAGGTTGTCTTGGGCATCCTGCTGGAGGATTTGGGCTTTATTCCAAGGTCACAGTATACACACCCAAAGCAGGGTTGTGAACTCACATGACAACAGGGGCCAGGCAGATGATGTCAATCAGTGACGTGGGCCAGGAAGCCCCAGGAGGCTCAGGCTTTATCCAAAGGCGGCAACTGATTGTTGCCATGCTACAATGCACTCAGTGTCACCTAGTTCCCATTAAAAAAAAAAAAAAAGGAAATCCGTATCTTTATATGAACACTCCCAAGTTTTAACTGTTGGAAATTATTTCAAAACATCATGCTGGCCAAGCAAAAACATCTGATGTCCTATCAGTCCCTGGGCTTCTAGTTTGGCACTTAAGATCTAAAGCTTAAGCAGAGAGCTGTCACAGTCAGACTTATGTTTCAGAGTGTCCTCACGGATCTCCATATGACGTTTCCGCAGCGGCCTCTGCCAGCAAGAACCTCTTTTCCCCATCTTCACCCCCTTGCTCCTTGCCCACGTGGTTTTTGCATCCCTCGCTGCCCTCCGGGACCACGCCCACCCCTCCCTGTCCTCCTGGACCACGCCCACCCCTCCCTGTCCTCCCGGACCACGCCCACCCCTCGCTGCCCTCCCGGACCAACCTCCGCACTAACCACCCCCTCCATCTTGCACAAGAGGAGCCGGATGAATGAGCCGTAATCCAGGCCTGGCTTAAAGAGAAGAGCCCAGCATTAAGGACACGAGAGAGCCATATTTATTTCACATGGACAAGCATGATTCCTTCGCATGCTGAACATGAAAGCTCGCGTGAGGAAAGTACCCGTAACAGCAGAATTAATGTGCTTTTGTCCACAGGAAGCAGGGAGGGTCACAAAGTGGTTTTCAAAGACAGTTACCCTTCAAGCAAAGTTGAGACCACAGGCTTTGAAATCTCTGGTTTATTTCATCATCGAAGGGTCTGTCTGCTAGGAGTGGCCAGGGGTGCTTCTGGCTCTGCAATGTCTCAATGAGCTAAGGTCAGGAGGAAGAGGACGGTCTGCTGTCCCACCACCCAGGGTGGCTAGGGAGAGTGAAGCTCAGAGGGGAGGTACATGCCACCAGGAATTAGCAAGTCCACACTGGGGTGGACAGTGACAGGGACAGACTGCTGTGTTCACAGCAACAGAACCATCACCACTTATAATATCTAGCATAATCAGAAGACCTGCTCTTCTTAAAGCAATTTCCCAAGGCCTCTGATGGGCTGAAGGGAAATGATTTGAAATTGACCAGACATGGCAGAAGCAGGTCAACTTTGCCTAGACAGACTGGGGAGAGGTAGTGGCAGGGACCCCCTGGTCTCATGGCCTTTCAGGACAATGGAACCCGAGATGGGAAAGGGGGCTGGAGCCTGGGTTTGGTTTGCTGGGGGAAGAGGATCACAGGCTCTAGGGCCAAACCTCATGGAAGAGACAAGCAGAAGAGTCCTTGCATCTTGGTGGCTCACTCCCACCTGAAGTCTTGTCCAACCGTTTCATAAAATTTAATATTATAAGGTCTATAAAATTCCCGGAGCTGGTCTATCACTTCCGGATCAATCTGTACATGAGTTCTGCCTTTCGATTTGCCCAGGCACCGAGGCAGGAGACTCGATTCTGTTTTTCTCAAGCAAGGGAATCCTTTGGTCTTGTTGAAGTAGAAATGCTTGTCCGTGATGAACCTCTTGATGCCCAGAAAGTCCTGGACCCGGCCCATCTCGCCCGCTGGGTCGGTGATGAGCCGCTCACCGCTGACGAAGTGGATCTGAGCCAGCGGGAAGTACTGCAGCCAGCTCTCCAGGTGCAGCGCGTACATGCCAATGCGGATGGCGTTCCATGACACGTCCACCTGGCCCAGCGTGCGGTTGCGGAAGGACAGGCCCTCAAAGGTGGGGATGTCTGGCTTCTTGGAGAGCGTCTGCGTGTAATCCGAGATGGCTCGGGTCACTGGGTTCCGCACGACCACGATCAGCTTGGTGTCCCGGGACATGTTGAAGATGCGCCGAGGGGCCTCCTGAGTGACAAAATAGCTGGGTGTCTTCTCCAGTGTGATCTGGCTCTCAAGGGTCCGGGGCATCAGGCTCCTGTGGGGCAGAAGTAGCACATCGTCAGACTGTGTCCCCCTGGGGAAGGGGAGCAGGGAGATCACGAGCGGGCCCCCCCCCCTCGGTGACATCTGAGCTCCACCTGCATTCTCTGGGGGAGAAAGCCACTTTAAGAACTAGTCTTTCAGCAAGCATGACGCTTACAATACTGTGTTGTCGACTATAATCACTACACTGCATTAGATCTCCAGTGAGGAAGCCACTTCAACTTGTGCTAGTTGTTTAAAAAAATCTTTAACAGGTCTGGTCCCAGGAATTCAGCTGGATAGTGATCAAACCATTCTGAACACCTACGAACTCAACAGGAGATTGAAGAAAAGAATAGCAACAATTCTCTGAACAGAAAAGCGACCACATTCTGGAAGATAGGACGTGTGGAGAAGTGAATCCGAGGCGATATTCAGGATAGACGGCGGGGGAGGGGGCCTCTGTCAGCTGCTTCTGGCAAGTGATAGAGCCGCGGAGCACAAAATCAGAATTTTTAGAAGTCGGCTCTGCTGAGGGACGTCGCTCCAGTGGCTAAGTGGGGGGTGGAACCCTCGCGGGACAGTGTGGTCTCAGGACCCTCGGGGTCACACAAAGACCAGAGGTGCCTGAGCGTGGCAGAACTCGCAGGTATCGGAGCAGGGAAGCTGGCTGCAGAGACGGAGCAGAGGAGTGGGCTCTCAGCTCGGGGCTGCCATAAACTGTGATCGGTGACAGTTGGGCCACTGCTCCTCCAGCAGGGATCCAACAAGCGGCAAACCCGGGGAGACTCCCCTTCCTCCCTGGGAAGGAGCAGCACGGTAGCGCACCGCAGGGAACTGCTGGGTTTGGAGACTCCACACGGGGTTGGGTGCCAGAGATAGAAACACTCGGTCACAGGCCGGGTGAGCACGGAGTGCAGCCGGAGACCGGGGAGACGAGAGTGACTGCTTTTCTCTGGAGGCACACTGAGGAGCGGGGCCCCGAGTTCTCGGCTCCTCCGGGGCGGAGATTGGGAGGCCGCCATTTTCACTGTTGTCCTCCAAAGCTGTACGAGAGCTTGCAGGGAACAAAAGCTCCTGAGAGCAAACCCGAGCAGATGACTTAGCCCGGACCTGGCAAGGGCGGGGCAATTCCGCCTCCGGCAAAGACATTTGGGAACCATGGCAACAGGCCCCTCCCCCAAAAGATCAGCAAGAACAGCCAGCCAAGACCAAGTTTACCGATCAATGAAAACGGGAGAACTCCAGCACTAGGGGAATACTGCACATAGAATTCATGGCTTTTTTACCATGATTCTTCAGTCTTTCAAAGTTAATTTTTTTTTAACTTTTTTTGTTTGGAATTTTTCTTTTTCCCTTTTTCAAACAAAATCTTATCAATCCTTTTTTAAAAAAACATTTATTTTTCAATTTTTGGGTCATATTCTATCCCTTCATAGT